CAAGATCTATCATCGCGGCGGCAGAGCTGAAGAAAAAACCATCTCAATTACCTGGCGGACAAACTCAACGCCCAGGCAGAGCACTATATCTCAATACGCATGCGCAGAGCCTGAAGACCAAATATCTCAATACCCAGCGGAATCCTGCATCGCTAGGGCAGAGCCGATGAAACTGGGGGAGGGTACTTCTGTAGGGTGGTTTTAGCACCATAACAATCTCATGAATACTCAAGTAACATGTAAGTCAAGAGCAGATTTCGTAAGTGCTTATAAAATCATCAATATGACATAATATTTAGAACGCATATAGGGGTGAAACTGCAATTTTCTAAACATGTTTCAAAAACTGACGGTATACCAGATTATAAATTACTTCAAATACAGATTAGCATATGTCTGATACAAATCATAAGCAAATATCACTTTTAAAAGTCAAACCTCATATAACACATTATAATATAATTAAACCAAGAGCAAAAATAATAATAATAATATAATAATAATAATAATAATATAATAATATAATATAAGAATATTTCATATAAGGATAACTCATGCCAACATATGAGATTTCATGGAAAACAGGGGGTAAAATGCAAGTTTTTTAAAACATTATTCTCAAAACTAACAAATTCAACAATTTATAATATTACCAAGAAATCATATCGACAATCACAAATCTCAACTCATATGCAGTTCAACCAATTCCACGCTCTAAATTGTAACATTTCCTTTAACAGAATATATCAATACATGGGTGAAAATTAAAACTGTAAAAAAAATGTTTTCAAAACTGACAGTTTAGCCTTTTAATATCACTTTATTTCTACCTTCCCAAAAAAAAAAACGTCACAAACCATGAAAACCTTACCAAATTAGGAAGTTTATCAATATATTATGAAACCCAGATTTATGATCACCAAAAAATAATAATTAATCCTTACAAAAACAAGGGGTTTAGCAAAATTTATATATATAAAAGAAACCATTAATCCCAAGGAAATGTCATACAATCATAAATGAGAAGTACCCTTTTTTTTTTTTGACTTTAAGACTTACTATTTCAGACTTTCTAAACATTACTCATTACAACAAATAGCATGCAAACGTAATTTTTCATAACATGTTTTATCTTATTTAACAAAATCCCAGCAAACTTACCAACACACTGCCCAACCTAATACACATCATTAAAAAACCAATTTAAGCAATTCTTCAACATAAATATATCCCAATCCACACCGAAGCATGGAGGACAAGCAACTCACACAAACTTCACATATAATCCAGAACTCATCAAAACATTACATGCAGACATAAGTCTTAAGCTTTAAGAAAGATCTAATGGACATGCAACACAAAGACCAGATCTGATGCAGTACCACTCTTCTATGTTCAGCCGAACACAGCAAGCAAGGAGAGCCACAGTCAACAGTAAATTGTTTATCAAACAGCATGAGAAAACATTCACTTAACAAGCAATCGAAAAGTTCAGATTTTTGGAAAAGTTTTAAAGAAACCACTCACACTAAAAAAATTCAGCTCAACCCGAAATACCCAGCTGCCCAAGCACCATCCTATATTACCTCACTTTCTTCCATCATTTATCTTTTTCTTCTTCCTCCTCGGCCGACGTCCTCTCTTCATTCTTCTTCTTTTTCTCTCTCTTCTCCCTTCTCTCTCTTCCTTTCTCTCTTTCTTTCTTTTTTTCTCGGTTTTCTTCTCCCACTTTCTTCTTCTTATTTGGGTGAGCGACCCAAATTTATATAAAACAATTTTTTTTTTACAACGGCCCCAAAATCTCTTAATTCTAATAAACCTGCCACATCCTTTTCCTTACAAAAACATCCGATTTGTGCCCTTGTACATGCAAAACCCAAACAGCTTCCATTGTCTTCGTTTTCGTCACAACCAAACTTTAAAATTTGACAGAAAAGTCCCTCTTATAAACAAAACCAAAGGGATATATGTAATATTAGAATGGGGTTACAGTGAAAGTAAGATTGCTGTCTGTTTGTGTAAATTCAGTTTGGTAGAAGTCAGATTGCTATCTGCTGGTTTTGGTCAGAGTGCTATCTGAAGTGCTCAGCTACTGCTTGTACAATGTTCAATTGCTAACAGCCGTTTGCTCTCAGTTTGATCACATTATGATAATCAGTTGATGCTTGTATAATATTCAGTTTGGTAAAAGTCAGATTGTTATCTGCTGGTTTTGGTCAGATTGCCATCTTGTGTTTTGGGTGTAAAATCAGTTGGGGGACCATAGCTTATGTCTGTGATCAGGTGCATACTGAAAGAAGTGATTCATTTCAGCGGAGATTCCAAGAACTTTTACATAGCTGAGAGGAGATATTGATAAATGAAGATGCACAATGCTACACAGTTCTGTTTGCGGGAAAATGATGGTAAAAGTGCAGCAAATCCCAGTTCAGTTGAGGGAAGATTAGCAAGAAAAATGTAATAATCTTTCCAGCTTTAGTTGAGGGAAGATGTTAAGCTTTGTTAGGAGTTCGTTTAAGGCTCTGTTAGTTTGTTAAAGCAATGGTTACTGCCGTTAGGTGTAGTTACTGTTCAGCTTAAAACAACCTATAAAGGTGTCACTGTAGCTGTGCTTGTTATCGGAAATACAACAGAATTTTTTCAGAAAATCTCTCTTCTTTCGGCATTTTCCTCTGCTTTTGCTCCTAACCTGACAAAAAGAAATACTGAGTGGATCAATGAAGTGTAAAACTAGACAAATAGTAATTCGCCATGATTGCAGAGAATACCTAATACTAGGATAAAAAAAAACAAACAAAAAAAACTTCACATTTCACAATGAGTCAACATTACAACAATATACTTCAAAATCCAATAAAACAACTAAATCTACAAGCAGTTGAGACTTGCAACCCAAAACTCTAGAAATTAATCAGCCTTTGCCGATCTGGAGGAGCAACACATTGCCACAAGAAACGGTATGCTGGAATATCTGCTGCTTCAAACAGGCAGCAAGATTGGCGTATTCCTGGTCATTTTAAAATGCGTTAATGATACATGGGAGTTAAAGAAGTTCAGGAAACAGATCATACTAATGTTCCCAAAAATCAAGCTTTACCTGATATCAAGAAACAATTGCATGCAAATCTTGTCAGTGTCGGATACATATGGTCTGAGACATCTGAGCTGCTCCAGCTCGCCTTTGTGCACCTTGCCGTATCTTCAGGAGTGGAAAAACTCGTTTCCTAGCCTGGGCAGGTGATTTAAAGAATATTAGTTATAAAAGAATCCTAAAAGATTAAAAAACTTTTACTCGAGACACTAACACACACTGATGAGATCAGCAGCCAATTCATGATAGCAACCAGTTATTTAGTTGAGCACCAAGCAGTATCCTTCTTAGTCTCCTTGACAAATATTTCATGGCTCACTCGCATCTAATAAAAGTCTGCAAGTAGTAGATAGGTTAATAAAAACATTTGACAAATATGTCAGGCTCACTCTGCATCTAATAAAGTCTGCAAGTAGTAGATAGGTTAATAAAAAATTGATGACGCGGAGCACAATGTCCTGGTGCTGTGTTGTTTAAACAAAAAATGGTTAGCCTTTTAGGCAACATATAATGTACGTACATTAGCATTAATTTTTAAAAAAACTTAGAAATCAGACACTAATTGCACAAATTATCAGTACATAAAAAATAACCATAAATATGATCCATCTCTTCATATTGATATTATTCTGAATGCTATTTTATCGAATTTGGTGGAAGAGCCCATGTCATCACACATGTATTACATTTCTAGGATACACCTAATAGAGTGTGGTAGTAAAATTAGACATAGATTCTCAAGCCACATTTCATGTCCATAACAGTATATCAGAACAATAATATGCACAAGTCATCCAAAAATGACATTGCATCAAAATTCAATGAAATACAACAGCAGATGACAAGAAATATAATGTTCTCAAGTGTAGCTATAACCTAGAGAAAAGACTGCATACCTTCAGGGGGCGCAATACCAGGCACAAAGGGGAATGCCTGACAGGAAGTGGGTTTATTAGTCATCGTGAGTCGCAGTTATCCTTAAGCTGTCTTAAGTCCTACAATTTTTGACAAAATGCTGTCTCAATCACCCAGCACATCATCAAATATAACATAGTAATATCATTTTAACTGAGATTAACAGGAATATTAGAACCCTGCAACTCTTAAATCATGTGAATAACAATATTTAAAACAGGCCTAGAAAAAAACATAGAGCTTACTTCCACAGCCTTTCAACAAGTCCCTCTATTATCGTTTGTATAACTAAAGGTAATGTAGTACTCAATGATTTTCCACCATCTAAAATGCTCTGTTTACTAGAACAAGAATTTCAGTGGAGCATGAAGGACAGAAGCCGAAGAACATGAACCAGGTAGTCACCAGAGACCTCTGTGGCAGACAAGTTATGTCATGAATAACCTGCACAGTCAGAGAAACTACATAAATATGCTAGTTAAATGATAACTTTCATGACTCTGACATGGATGAGTTAAATCTAGTGAACACTACAGGAGAGCATAAATAAGGTCAAAATTGGACTCAAACAAAGAAGTAAATAAATAAATAGAAGGTATATACTAGAGATGAACTTCAGTGCTATCCGTAAAGGTTCAGATGTCAAATATAAGCAGATCGCTCAGTGTACGATACAGTCGGAGAGGAAGCAAGAGATACAGTTGAATAAAGCATAAGTCATACATAATAAAATCATCCGGAGCAGCTGAAATAGCCCATTCACATCCAGGATTGGAGCCTGCACTACCAGATTCCGAGGAGCCAGTCCTGATGACAACCAATTTGAGTATCTGTCAGAAATTCATCGATAAGCACAGCAATGATGATATAATAAGCAGAAAACGGACTAGTATTTTTCAGTCCAAACTGACCTTGAAAGAAGCTGCAATGACGACAAAGAAATTTGTCGGAGCAAGAAAGGAAAAAACATATTCTCTCCAGCAGGATCTCAAGCCTCTAAAAGTGTAACACTAGTTTTAATGTTAAACACAAGACTTTCCTTGATCAGAATGTGAATTCTGAACAGGAGCAAGACTTGCTCCTGTAAGAGCAGAATCTAAAGCCCCAGCAATTCCCGAAACCTGAAGGAATAGAAGTTACAACGTCAACCATAATTGAATACTGAGTGGATTCAAATGAGCGATAAAGCCACGCACTAGCCAAGGCTATAACATACTATCCATAAAAAAACCATTGAAGTAGGAAATTTTCTCTAGCGAAGTCAGCGTGGAAACTAGTACAATGATGATAATAGGCTAAATAACTAAACTTTTATGCAAACAACAATATGTGATTTGGCAATCTCATTGACTTAATATTGTGATGCTGTGTTTCCACGCGCATTAGAAATAAGATTATGGTCGGTAGTTTACTAGAGTGAGAGAACTGAAGAAAAACTACAACATGATGACATGGAAGCAAAACTTACTGAACGTGAACATTCAAGCTTGCTGTCATAAATGGAAATTTGGCTATCATGAACACACCAAAAGATGTGTTTGATCATTATGAAACTGGACGTTAGTTTCTCCGACAAAAGGGGATGACGGCCAGCTGGTGCTTGTATGAACCTTGATTTCAGCTCTCCCATTTATCGGTACTCCACATACATAGCTGCATCAAATTAATGAAACTAAATAAAATATTAAGCAGCGGAAATCAAAAAACCCAGAGATAACAAAGAAAGAAAAAGCTTCACCTGATTTTGGGACCCTGATTGAAATTCAATAGCATTAGAGGGACTGGGGGAAGCCATGTTTGAAACTGTAGTAAATTAGAGTATTTCCTCATTTGTAAGATTGACTATTCTTTTCAGGTAGTAGTAAGTGATTAGCTACGGTGGAAGTAGATATTTCCATTCTTGTTTACTTGTAAGTCCTATATAATGTCTTTTTCTACCCACAACTTGTTTTGAATGAAGTTGCTAAGGGATTTGAACTCAAATTACTTGGCTGCACTTAGCACTGATATCATGTATCATGTTGAGTAACCACTTGATCAAAAAACCATATCAAAAGCTTAGCTTATAGCCAAGAGCCCAATAATGGTATTTAAGCTATGACAGTACCCAAATAACCAGATTCATGTTCAAAAATAATCTAAAAGAGCATTTTCCATGGAAAGATCTTTCACATTAGAAAATCCCTCAAAACAATTCGATTCTTGACTTCACCTATTCAAACGACAGCTTATATTTGGGCACTTCTCAACACCTATTGTGAGAAGGTACCATCCAAGAAGACTATATTTACATAGTAATTCAACTATGTTTTGAAATTTTACCAAAGAAAAGGCTATGTATGCAGGCATTGGTTAACCAAATGGGCTTAAGATCAATCTCAAATTGTAACTTCGAGTTCATATAAAGTAATTGCTCCCAGATAAGCAAAAGTTCATAGAGCAAACCCTTATGTCCAAATGTTCTAGGTTTTTCTCTTTGACAAAAAAAATTATAGCATACCAATAACATTATAAGAACAACTAAAGCCAATAACATACATATAAAATTTTATAAGTCAGGCACTAACCGAGCATCAGCCCTGAAGACATCAAGGCATTTAAAGTTTGGGAAAATGCAAGCCTGCGATTTGATTTTGGTGGACCCTTAAGTTTGGTTTGACCTGCAACAACATCCAACATTAGTTATGTCCTCATTATATGTCGCGCAATTAGCTTTAGATAATCAGAGAGAGCTATTGATTTGATATAAAATAGCTATACTTAAGTTTGTTTCTATTGGGGATGGATCAGGTTCGCCTTTTTGTACTTTTGTTGCATCTGTTTTGTTCAGGAAGATGATGTTTTAATTTAAAAAAAAAAAAAAATGATTTCAATAGTCCTTATGGAATTATACTAACCATCCCATCAGTAAAACAAGAAGGTAACAATAAGACTTTCCCTCTAATGAACTCTGCTAAGAAGCATAAATCGGACGAATGGTATAGGTAATGATCAACCAAACCAGAATCAAATTTACATTAATAATCTCCATCATAATCAACTATAATTAACACTGGCTAATAAATGGAGCAAAAGTCAGGTGAACATATCCTTTGACCAGGTATACATAAAACTAGCTTCAGAAATTAAGTAAAGAAAACGACAGATCAAGTGAGAACCTTCACCATCAAACTCGATATTGTATATCGAATGGTAGAATCTCCATCCCAATGGCAATAATAATATTTCTTGAGGATGGAATGCAAATAGGTAGCTGCCGGAGGTGGAGGCATAAACATAATCATGACCTAAGAACACATAGCAATCTATTCAGTCATGTGGAATCTCAAAAAATTGCAAAAGCATTATCTCAAGCAAATATTGTGAACATGTATGAAATACAGACTTCAAATTTGGAGAGGTGCAATAACTTACCTGATGTCATCATGGTGAATAAGGAAACTTTTCCACTAGAGGCAGACAACAAGTAAGAATCATTTTGGAATGAAGCGATGCATAGAGCAGACCTCTTCACTGGTTTATTATCATTTATGTCATTGATCATAAGTGTTACACGGGAGGCTGCCACACTGGAGCGCTACGTATGCAGTAGCTGACGAGTTTGCAATGACATTAAAAGGTCTAAATATAAAAACCAAAAGAAAATTACAAATGGAAAGTAATAAACCTTCCCCGAGGGATTCCTTCAGTACGTTGCTATTTCAAAAGCTTGTGAACAGCGCTGGCGGAAGGGCCAATAGAGTAGACCAGAGTGTGGTGTATCCCAGGCCTAATAGGCAGGGGAAATTACCAAAGTATTTCACATCATTGATAATGTTTTATTGCATTAACATTGATTGGTATTAAGCTTTTGATGAACTGATAGTTTTATTTCTGTGTCTATTTGTAAGAAGTCAATGTAGTTTAAAATTATTTCGCCAGTCCTCTCCTACTTTGTTAATCATGAAACAAGCACTAACATGCAGAGAGGGTTGTATTTGCCCTAACTCACAACTGAGGTGCTATTACCATGTGAATTGGCAGTCACATACCATCATCCTCAGAGGCATGTCAGGATATTCAAAAAAAAGAAAGGAAAAAAATCAAAAAGAAAGGTTAGCACATCAGATGAGCAGGTTTAAAACTGATTCGCATTTGACTTAACATTCCACAGTTCCTGGCATTATGCATCTCAATTCTTAGAATACTGGTTGGTATTATTAACGAAAGTATAGTTCATATGGATTGCAATAGCTTTATAAGTAGTAAAATATCATTATATGAGCACAGGCACACAAAAGGCAGTAAATAACCACAAGAAATATCCAGCACCATAGAAGCAGAGGGGTTTCTTCCTAAACGAAATAAAATGCAAATACTTGGATCTTTACCCTACATGCTTGGTGCTATAGATCAGGTACGCATAGAGCTTTCTTTGTGTGCAATCCCAGAACCCTCCCAAAGGCTAATGTCACAACATTGTCCCCACTACAGTAAAGAACAGAAATTTCAATCAATAATAATAATCTCTGGAAAAAGTTTTATAATTTTCAGTGACCAGCATTAAACAGTGGTTTTTTCTATTTTTAACAAGAAGAATATCTTGCTGCTGTGGATGGAAGTCCATGCTCATGACATTAGAAACTTGATTAAGGGTTCGCACAACAGCTTAGTAAGGTTATCTTGAGAATAACATTGGGAGTATGTGCTACACCAGCAAAGACAACTAGAAAACAAAAAGATAATAAGAGGTGAGAAGGAACAGAGAATTGTTACAACCAGCTGATATAAAGGCCATTTAAAATTTATGTAGCTATCAAGCTTGAAAAAACAAAAGATTATGTCACTCATCCAGACATCATCAGATTGGCCAGTGCAGATACGCTTCATCAAATGCTGAAAATACTCTATGACAATCCTCCCATTCAGACCTGTCGGCGTCCTGGATGTTTCAAGAATGCAGCTGTAGACATCCCAATATAAATAATATAATAAAAGACTAGCGTAATAAACCTAACATATTAAGCTAAAGAGGGGAGAGAAAACAATGCAAAACATAAAAATTACAAATGTCCTTACCTGCACTAGAGAGACTGGCACAAGACACGGAGGGATGCGCACACAGCAGGGTGAGGTAAGGAGGGGAATTGTTTGACATCAACCAGCAATAGCACCTGGAGATGGGGGAACAACACCCTGAAATGGCTGCACAGTAAGAGATCATTCAATTGATATTTGAGTATGACAACCATGTTTTATGGAGAGTGGATGCAAAAGAATACTCACACCATGAGCACCAATAGGCGAAATGCACCAGCCTTAGGCATTGGTCCCACAAGCTGGGTGTTTGTAGGAGAAGGACTAGCTCCATTAGCCGTAGGGTTGCAAAGATGACAGTGAAGAGGGTTTTAAATCTAAGGGTTTGGACAAGGATTCTTGCAATGTTGATGCTGCCAATTAAACTGAATTTTTTTAAAGAACGGGAGTTCAGAAAATAGTCTACAAGAGGAGTAATATATCTGCAAAGTGTAAATGATATCAAGTCACCTTACAAATATAAGAGCAAAAGCGCAAACCAAATAGAAATCAACTAATATATAATATACCAATACAAATAATATTTGTAAAATGATTCTGTAGTTTGCTTTTACCAAAAAACTGTGCTGCACACTGACACAGGAAAATTAACTGATATGAAAAGATTCAAGAATACCTCGGGTTATTAATGTCCTCAGTTGTGAAACTGTTGAAGGCTAGGATGTAAGCCTGTCACAAAAAAGGGGGTTTGCTTCAATTAACTATTAAGTTTCTACAAGCATAATATTACAAAACGATTTTGTGTCTCCATACTTGAAAGCTGTTCATTTGCTGGATCACGAAGTGCCAGCAGAAAAAACAACCAAAATTTTATGCAACCATACCATACCATTTAAAGAATGGTGGAGTAGCACCTCAATCAACTAAAGTTATCAAGTGTAGAGCTGGGTAAATCCTTGAATGTCTTATGAAGGATGCAAAAACCTTAAGGTATTAGCAAGAATCAATAGCCTTGCTCGAATCCCCCTTGATAACATGAAGGAAAAAAAGGAACATTATTATGCATTATGGGTTAAACCTACATATGAAAAACAAAACTACATTCCTTCATAAAACTGATGGCAATACCTTAATTTTTAAATATGTCCTGATGATCACTAATGGGTTTGTATATTGGCATAATGAATCAGTAGGTCTATTACTTTCCCTTTAAAGATACTCTTCAAACCAGGAGAGCTAATAAATTGCTTGGGTAAACAATTCCTAGGGGATGCAGAGTAAACCAAATCTTACAAAAAGCTCATGAACATTCTAGTCCTTCATATTAAAATACCAAGAATAAACCAGTATAGGAAAGGGCATTGAAGGATTAGCTTATCATCATGTGCCCAAAGGAAAAAAATTCAGCACATAACAGGTTATGGAGGGGTGGTGACATCATTGAGGCCAAGATCTGGCTGAAAATGTGTGGCCTGCCGCACGGCTGGAGGCGCAAAAGCGACCAAACCGCGCAGCTCAAGCAAAAGATTCGGCTGACCTGGAGTACCAAGCAGTTGACTCGTTTTGCCGGCCCCAAATAAGGCGTTCGTAGCCGAGTATTTTGAGTTTATTTTGTTACACGAACTTTAGAATTTAACTAAATTAATAAATATTAAGAAATACTTTTATATCTTTTACACTTCAGAAAAATAAAGAGTATGTATGCAAGAGAAACGCATAATGCATAGTCAACTTTTATATGTAGTCTTATGATTTAGGTTTAAAAAAGAAATCACAACTCATCTAATAACGCACACTTACCACGAGACTTTGCTGTATGTTGTTGAACCAACTAAAACTCTTGATCTTCTCTTCGGAATCTTTCACAAAAGTCAGAACAATCTGTAATCACAAAGAATAATATATTAATAATAAAAGTAAAAACTGTGTAGAATGCTATTTTAAGCTCTAAATTGATCATAATTTATCAATTAAACAAGAAAATGAGAAATTTCCCCAACAATTACTTCAATATATATACTTCAAAAACATGTATAAATTAAGGAAACATAAATTGTAATATTGTAGCTTCTCTATATATACTTGATAGTCTATAATTGATTCGCTTAGAGGATTTTAATTAAAGACAAAATCAATGATAAAGATCATTTAGTATTGACTAGTATTAATTCAATGAAGGAAAACGAAGAAGTCTACGAAAAAAGTATATTGTTAAGTAAATGAATACTTACCATTTTGTAATTGTTGTATGATTCTATCAGTGTCGCTCTCCGAGCAATATTTATAGTTCAACATCTTTAACCTTGGCATGCTTAAGCCTCCTCCAGAGAAAGTCTTCATCTTGGAGCATTCAATCACATATAATCTTTCCAAATTTGGGAATTTTAAAGTGTAATTCCCAAAACAGAAACATGTGAGACTTTCTAAATTATAAAAGTATAACTCCTTCAATTTCTCAAAAACAATTTCATCTTTCTCTATGTCTCCTTCATTTGCTAATACTTCTATCATCATTTCACAATTATCTATTGACAACTCTTCTAGTAGCACTAGACTTTTGGCTGTTGAGGATGACATTAAGTTTTGCATTCCATTGCAATACCTTACACTCAAAATCCTCAAATTTGGGAATTTTAAGGTATAATTCCCAAAACAGAAATATGTGAGACTTTCTAAATTATAAAAGCATAACTTCTTCAATTTCTCAAAAACAATTTCATCTTTCTCTATATCTCCTTCATTTGCTAATATTTCTATCATTATTTCACAGCTTTCTATTGACAACTCTTCTAGTAGCACCAAACTTTTGGCTATTGAGGATGACATTAAATTTTGCATCTCATTGCAATAGCTTACCTTCAAAATCCTCAGATTTTCAAAAGATGCTAAAGATNCGAAAAAAATATATTGTTAAGTAAATGAATACTTACCATTTTGTAATTGTTCTATGATTGCATCAATGTCATAAAACGAACAATCTTGAGTGTTCAAGATCTTTAACCTTGGCATGCTTAAGCCTCCTCCAGAAAAAGTCTTCATCTTGAAGCATTCACTCACATGTAATCTTTCCAAATTTGGGAATTTTAAAGTGTAATCCCCGGAGCAATAGAAGCATGTGAGACTTTCTAAATTACGCAACTGCAACTCCTTCAATTCCTCAAAAACAATTTCACCTTTCTCTATGGCTCCTTCATTTGCTAATACTTTTATCATCATTTCACAATTGTCTATTAACAAGTATTTTAGTAGCAACAGACTTTTGGCTGTTGAGGATGACATTAAGTTTTGCATCTCATTGCAATTGCTTACCTTCAAAATCCTCAGATTTTCAAAAGATGCTAAAGATGGCAATAGAGTAGTCAAGTGGTGACAATATTTCACCTTCAGACAATCAAGATTTTGAAGAATTGAGTTCAATCGAGAGTCTTGTTTCCAAATGCACTTTAAATCTAGAAGTCCAAACAATGCTAATTTTTTTAATTTTGTGAGTGTTCCAATGTGTTCCTTATCCTCTTCAAATGAGAATATCTCTTCATATGAACTCACTTTCAATATGAGTTTTTCAAGACTGTTCAATTTGTGAAGGATTTGAATTGGAATGGTTGCAAATGTATCATTAATCAATCGAAGAGTTTTTACTTTGCCAAAGCTCTCTTGAAATTCTCCTTCCCAAATCGACATGATGTCCCTTCCACTTAATGTCAATTCCTCCAAATTGGAGTCAACCTAAAGAAAAATCAAAATCATGTCAATCAAATTAAAATTAATATTTCCCTTAAAAACATATAATAATTATATATATAAAATTAAGCAAGAAAAAGATATTCATTTAACCTTTTTTTTTCCATTACAATTACCGTGTAATTAGTCCAATTACTTTACCGGGCCACCTATAACCCTTGAATTAGAATTAAAAAAAGTTAACCTGAGGGCTGAAATTGATACCTCTAATTAATGTTGATTTGTAAAATATGATAGTTAAAAACAAGAACATGACACGCAGAATTAGCCCAGCCACTGGAACAAATTGACTTTTTGATGAGCCTTATGCTAGGCAATAAAACTACGCTAGGATAAGCCTTATTCTAATGCAAAATTTGCATTACAGCACTTATACACAAACTAACTTTAAAAAAAGAGTTTATTATAATTAACGCTAAAAACATAATATTATTATAAAATAAATATTTAAACTAATTAATTGAATACATATACCTTTTTTTTGTGTGCTTGTTGTATAGTTGTATTAAGGTCATTCCCCCGATTCTCTACTTCTGTTTCCTCCAATGTTAAAGTGTTACTCCAACTCACATAATTGACTTTCTGCAACATTGGTGTGCTTAAGATTCCTTGAGAGAAAGTCTTCATATTGGGGCATTCTTTTATAATTAACTCTTCCAAAGATGGGAAATTGAAAGAGTAATTCCCAGAGCAAAAGCATGTGAGACTTTCTAAACGTACAAGTGACAACTTTTTCAAATTATCAAAAACAATTTCAGTACTCATTGTTGTATCTCCTTCTCCCTCATTTTCTACTATTTCAATCAACGGGTAACAATGCTTTATGCTCATTTCTCTCAATTGCACCAAATTTCTAGCTGTTGAAGGTGTTATTAACTTCATCATAAACCCCTTGCAATAGTCAACTCTCATAACTTTAAGATTCTGGAAAGAAGCTGAAGATGACACTAGACTCATCAATTTGCTACAATTCAGTAAATCTAGAACTTCAAGATTTGGAAGACTTGGAAAGAATAGCTCTTTGTATTGATAACAATAAAATAGTTTGAGCTCTTTCAAATTTTCAAATCTTTGAAGAAGTCCAAGTGGAAAATCTATTGAGTCATCATATCCGATCTCAAGAGCTTTAGAGTGACTCTGCCATATAATCTTTGTCATGCCATTCTTTATTTCAAATACCTCCAAATCATGGTTGATCTACAAATCCATCATAAAACAAAATCCAGTTAGCTTTTTAATTATATACTTAAAATAAAAGTTTAGTTATTGGTTCAAAAGTCATAGGCCAAACCCAATCAAATTTTGACAAATCAACTACAATCTATTTTAAAACTAGTAAATTATATTTTATTAATATTTAAAATTTAAAATCAATATTAAAAATTGCATTCAAAAACTATTTTTGTAAACTACGGTTTAAACATACTTTTTTGTTTTTGTTTAAAATAGAAACATGCTTTTCAAATGAATTTTATTTTTTATTCAAATGAATTTAGATTATTCTTCAAAGGGCTACCATGAATCAAATTTGTGAGCAAATGTTTCATTTATGTGATTTTACCAATTACACCCCTTGAAACCAAAAAGCTACTCAACCGCCACTAACTTGGAAAACTACAGCATACATCTCGTCCTATTGTCTATTAAATTATTTGAATTTAAGCTACAATCTAATGGAAACGGCTACAGATGCAAATCATAGCCACAAATCGCATGGCTGTGCCTGTGGTGCAACCTTAGATTTCTGACCTGATTGATGGCTATGACTTTAACCCCATATTGCAAACTGCGATCTAATTACAACTATTTTCAATTTTTTTTTCAATTTTCTTAATTATTTTAAGAATAATTTATAATGTTATTTTATTTTTTAAACAGTTACAGAAATTAAATTAATATGAATTTCTTAAAAAGTTTCTTTTTCTTCCAAATTTCTATTATTTGAATTTTCAAATTTAGTATTTAATGGTTACAACTGTAAAATATAATTTCAGATTTCGTAAATATTTTTTTCTTTATATTTTCCAATTTTATCTTCTATTTTAGAAATATTCTTGTTTAATTTTTCCTTTTAGTATGAAATGTCAATTTTATCCTCCTTGACTATAAGTTGGACTTTGGACATTTACTTATTTATTTATTAAAGCTTCTAATGCAATTAATTAAAAAATGTGGACTATAACATTATCAAATAGATGTGATAATTGAAAAGAAATCGGTACATAATTTATTGATAGTTACCCTAATATAATTTGATTCAAAATTTAATTGATTTATTACTCTTGGCCACCACCAAATCATTTTAAAATAATTTTGAATTTATGATCCTGTTTAGGAGGCTTTCAAGTTGCAAACTTTTTGTAAATAATTTCTTCAATAATAAAATGAATCACCTGATAAACAAATTTCTAGTAAAAATAAAATTTCAATGTTGATTTCTTTAAATCTAGTACATAAATGAGTTTAAATGATAAGGTCCTAAAGCAAAATTGTTCAAATTAAATAACCATTAATTTTTCTAAATTTTCTTTCCAAGGAAAAATAGAGATGTTAAGAATTCCATAATTAAAGTTTTTGAAATAAATGTAATATATATGAAGTAAGTTAATTTTCTTTTTCAATAAAGAATGAAATAAAACATTCGTACCTTATCGTCCAAGAAGACAGATTTTGGCTCGGAAATATGAAGTTCACTCTCGCTATTTTCTTTGAAACTCAGATATTTTGAAGATAACTTGGCACAATTTCTCAATATCAACTCTTTCAACTTTGGCAATTCAGAAGTATGTCTTTCATGATAGAAAGCTGTAAGTTCGGGTAGATTTTGAAGCTGCAATAAGGTCACATTTGGAAAGACAAAATTGACAACTGCATTTGCTCCTTCTTCTTTTGCAACAATCTCCTCTAAAACTTCACAATTTTCTATCTTTAGTTGTTGGAGTTGGTGGAGGCTTTGGGCTATAGAAGACGGAAATGCATATTTTATGTTTCCACAATTCCACAAGAACAAGTGTGTCAAATTTTGATAAAATAAATTTGGATGTTGGTTGTAGCAAATCGCAGTAGAATTGACATCTTTGAATGCCTTATACTTCAAATCAAGGGAAATGTCCTGCAGTAAAAGTTAATAGTTGTTTCAATATAAAGTAATTAAAAAATAATAATTATTGTTTCTAATGGATTAGAAAAATGTGTCTTTTTGTCACTCTTAATAATTTCTTAAGGGCCTAGCCCAAACTAAACAAATAATAATATAATAATGTCGTCCCCTAAGGGCCTAACCTACAACCGTTTATTCAACTAAGGTCAATACTTAAAATTGTCTTCTTGTCTTCTCAGTGTTATGCATTTGTATGGATAAACTAACAAAACTTGCTTCATCCTACTCTTACTTGCAATCTTGTAGCTAAAATATAATATTATTAAAATATATAAAAAAATGCAAAAATAAATAAATATTTAAACTAATTACTTTTAAACATACCTGCTTCTTGTATGCTCCTTGTATGCTTTTATTGATATCATTCCCCTCATTCTTTACTTCCTTTATTTTCTCCCACTCCTTGTTAGTCTCATTGAAGCTCTCATAATTGACTTTGTGTAACTTTGGTGTGCTTAAGATTCCTTGAGAGAAAGTCTTCATATTGGGGCATTCTCCTATAATTAACTCTTCCAAAGATGGATAATTAAAAGAGTAATTCCCAGAACAAAAACATATGAGAGTTTCTAACCTTCTCAATAACAACTTCTTCAAATTTTCAAAAACAATTTCAGTACTTGTTGTTGCATCTCCCTCTTTTTCTACTATTTCTATCACCATTTCACATCCCTCTATGCTCAATTCTCTCAAGTGCACCAAGCTCCTAGCCGTTAAAGGTGTCATTAACTTCGTCAACTCTCTACACTGACTTACATTCAGAAATTTAAGATTCTGGAAAAAAACTAAGGATGGTNATAGATAAACTAACATTACTTGCAATCTTGTAGCTAAAATATAATATTATTAAAATATTAAAAAAAGCAAAAATAAGTAAATATTTAAACTAATTACTTTTAAACATACCTGCTTCTTGTATGCTCCTTGTATGCTTTTATTAAGATCATTCCATTCATTCTCTACTTCCTTTATTTCCTCCAACTTCCCGTTAATCTCATTGGAGCTCTCATCATTGACTTTGTGTAACTTTGGTGTGCTTAAGATTCCTTGAGAGAAAGTCTTCATATTGGGGCATTCTCTTATAATTAACTCTTCCAAAGATGGGAAATTGAAAGAATAATTCCCAGAGCAAAAACACATGAGACTTTCTAACTGTTCAAGTGACAACTTCTTCAAATTATCAAAAATAATTTCAGTACTTGTTGTTGCAACTCCCTCATTTTCTACTATTTCTAGCACCATTTCACATTCCTTTACGCTCAATTCTCTCAACTGCACCAAGCTCCTAGTCGTTGAAGGTGTCATTAACTTTATCAACTCTCTACACCGACTTACATTCAGAACTTGAAGATTTTGGAAAAAAGCTAAGGATGGTCCTAGAGTGATCTGCAAATGTTTCTCATCCTTTCCACATGAGAACATTTCTTTGTATCCACAAGAATATAATTGAAGCTTTTCCAGATTTTCAAATCTTTGGAGGAGCCCAAGTGGAATATTTGCTGACTTATCATATATGATGTTAAGAGTTTTAAATTGACTCTGCCATGTAATATGTCTCAACTTATTCTCTAAATACAAATCCTCCAAATTAGAGTTGATCTACAAATCCATTGAAACAAAAATCTGATTAGCTTTTTAATCATTATTCGAATAATATAAAAATCTGTGGCTTCTGAACAGTACCCACTTTCATTATAAATAAAGATTCATGGATCTTCAAAGAGAAAAAAAGTTAACTGAGGACTGAAATTGATACCTCTAATTAATGTTGATTTGTAAAATTGATAGTTAAAACAGAACATGACACGCGGAATTAGCCCAGCCACTGGAACAAATTGACTTTTTGATAACTTTATGCTAGGATAAGCCTAGTTTTGCATAGCAATAGATTAAAGCTTCCAATGCTGAAGGAAATATGTGTATCTTATTCTAATGCAAATTGCATTACGTACTTGTACACAAACTAACTTTAAAAAAATAGTTATATAATTAACACTAAAAAAAAATATTATTATAATAGAAATATTTAAACTAATTAATTGAATATTATACCCTTTTTTGTGTGCATGTTGTATAGTTGTATTAAGGTCATTCCCCCGATTCTCTACTTCTGCTTTCTTCATCATTTAGTACTCGAACTCACATAGTTGACTTTATGTAACTTTGGTGTGCTTGAGATTCCTTGAGAGAAAGTCTTCATATTGGGGTAAAACTTTATAATTAACCTTCCAAAGATGGGAAATTGATAGAGTAATTCCCAGAGCAAAAGCATGTGAGACTTTCTAACCAACTAAGTGACAACTTTTTCAAATTCAAAAACAATTTCAGTACTTATTGTTGTATCTCCTCTCCCTCATTTTCTACTATTTCAATCAACAGTCCACAATCCTTTATGCTCATTCTCTCAGTTGCACCAATTTCTAGCTGTTGAAGGTGTTATTAACTTCATAAACCCATTGCAATAGTCAACTTATAACTTCAAGATTCTGGAAAAAAGCTGAGGATGGCACTAGACTATATATTTGCTACAACTCTGTAAATCTAGAACTTCAAGATTTGGAAGACTTGGAAAGAATAGTTCTTTGTATTGATACAACAAAATAGTTTGAGCTCTTTGAGTTTTTCAAACTTTGAAGGACCCAGTGGAATATTTGTTGAGTTATCATATGAGATCTTAGAGCTTAGATTGACTCCACCATCTAATCTCTTTCCCACACATCCTAAATTCAAATACCTCCAAATCTTGATTGATCTACAAGATCCATCGAAAAAAAATCCAATAGCTTTTCAATATATACTTAAAACAAAAGTTTAGTTATTGGCTCAAAAGTCATAGGCCAAACCCAATCAAATTTTGACAAATCAAACTACAATCTATTTTAAAACTAGTAAATATATTTATTAATATTTAAAATCAATATTAAAAATTGATTCAAAAACTATTTTTGTAAACTACAGATTGAACATACTTTTTTGTTTTTGTTTAAAAATGAATAGAAAACTGCTTTCAAATGAATTTTATTTTTATTTAAAGAATTTAGTATTTCTTCAAAGGGCTGCCATGAATCAAATTTGTGAGCAATGTTTCATTTATGTGATTTTACCAATTACACCCCTTGAAACCAAAATACTCAGCCGCCACTAACTTGGAAAATACAGTATAACATCCTCCTATTGTCTATTAAATTATTTGAATTAAGCAACAATTTAATGGAAAGGCTACAGATGCAAATCATAGCCACAAATCGCATGGCTGTGGTGCAACCTAGATTGTAGACATGATTGATGGCTATGACTTAACCCCTATTGCAAACTGCGATCTAATGGTGTAGGCCCACTACAACCATTTCAATTATTTTATTTTTTACATTTTCTTAATTATTTTAAGAATAATTTATAATTTATTTTTTAAAACAGTTATAGAATAAAATAATATTATTTTCTAAAAAGTTTTTTTTTTTTTCCAAATTTCTATTATTTGAATTTTCAAATTAGTATCTAATGGTTACAACTTTAAAATATAATTTCAGATTTTGTAAATAGTTTTTCTTATATTTTCTAATTTTATCTTCTATTTAGTAATATTCTTGTTTAATCTTTCCTTTTGGTATGAAATGTTAATTTTTCCTTTTTGACTATAAGTGGACTTTGGACATTTACTTATTCATTTATTAAAGCTTCTAATGCAATTAATAAAAAATGTGGTCTATAACATTATCAAATAGATGTGATATGAAAAGAAATCGGTACATAATTTATTGAGTTACCCTAATATAATTTGATTCAAATTTAATTTATTTATTACTCTTGGCCTCCACCAAATCATTTTAAAATAATTTTGAATTATGATCCTGTTTAGGGGCTTTCAAGTTGCAACTCTTTGTAAATATTTCTTCAATAATAAAATGAATACTTGATAAACAAATTTCTAGTAAAAATAAAATTTCACTGTTGATTTCTAGATTATATGGATGTATTTATTTATTTATTTTTAAATCTAGTACGTAATGAGTTTAAATGAAAGGTCCGAAAGCAAAATTGTTCAAATTAAATAACCATTAATTTTTCTAAATTTTTTTCCAAGGAAAAATAGAGATGTTAAGAATTCTATAATTAAAGTTTTTGAAATAAATGTAATATATAGAAGTAAGTTAATTTCTTTTTCAATAGAGAATGAAATAAAAGATGCATACCTTATCGTCCAAGAAGAGAGATTTTGGCTCAGAAATATGAAGTTCACCCTCCTTACCATCTTCTTGGAAGCTCATATGTTTGAAGTGAACTTCTCACAGTCTCTCACCACCAATTCTTTAAACATTGGCCATTTAGAAGTATGTATTCCAAGATAGAAAGTTGCAAGTTCTGGTAGATTTTGAAGCTTCAATAAGGTTATATTCGGAAAGACAAAATTGACAACTGCATTTGCTTCCTCCTCTTTGCAACAACTTCTCTAAAAATTTACAATCCCCAATTATTAGTTGTTGGAGTTGGTGGTTTGGCTTGGAGATGGAAGAGGAAATGCATATATGTTTCCACAATTCCACAAGAACAAGTATGTCAAATTTTGATAAAAGGAAGTTGGATGTTAGTGTAGGAAATCTCTGTAGAATTGATATCTTTGAATGTCCATAACTTCAATCTAAGGGAAATGTCCTACAGTAAAAGTTAATGGTTGTTTCAATATAAAGTAAAAAATAATTTTATTATTTATGATATTTTAGAAAAATGTGTCCTTTTGTAACTTTATCAACTAAGGTCAATACTTAAAATTGTCTTTTTGTCTTCTTAGTTTTATGCACTTGTATGGGTATACTTGGAAAGCTGTTCATTTTGCTGGATCACGAAGTGCCAGCAGAAAAAATTAACCAAAAATTTTCATGGCATACCATACCAATTAAAAAGAATGGTGGAGTAGTCACCTAAATCAACTAAAGTTATCAAGTGTAAGAAGCTGGGTAAATCTCCTTGAAATGTTCTTAATTGAAGGATGCAAAAACCTTAAGGTCCTAGTCAAGGATCTCAATAGCCTTTGCTCGATCCTTCCTGATAACATGAAGGAAAAAAATGGAACATTATTATGCATGTATGGGTTAAAACTCTACATATGAAAACAAAACTACTTCCTTCTTAATGAATGGCAATACCATTAATTTTTAATATGTCCTGATGATCACTTCAATGGGTTTAGTATATTGGCATAATGAATCAGAAGTCTATTACTTTCCCTTTAGATATACTCTTCAAACCAGAGAGCTAATAAATTGCTTTGGGTAAACAATTCCTAGGGCTGCAGAGTAAACAAAATCTTACAAAAGGCTTCATGAACATTCATTGTCTTCATATTAAAATACCAAGAATAAACCAGTATAGGAAAGGTCATTGAAGGATTAGCTTCGTCATTTCATGTGCCCAAAGGAAAAAAAATTCAGCACAATACCAGGTTATGGGAGGTGGTGACATCATCTAAGGCCAAGATCTAGCTTGAAAATGTGTGGCCATGCCGCACGGCTGAGGCGAAAATCCGACCAAACCGGGCAGCTCAAGCAAAGATTCTGCTGGACCTTGAGTAGCCAAGCCGTTGACCGGTTTGCCGTTCCCAAATAAGGCCTTCTTAGCCGGATATTTGAGTTTATTTGTTTTACACTAACTTTAGAATTAAATTAATTAATAAATATTAAGAAAATATTTTTAATAATCTTTTATTTTTCAAGAAAATAATAATAGTATATGTGAAAGAGAAATGCTATAATTGCATAGTCAACTTATTATATATATTCTTTTGATTTATGTTTAAAAAGAAATGCCAACTCATCTAATATCATACACTTACCATAGTTTCCTTTGAAAATAATCTTCTTCTTCTTCTTCTTCTTCGAATCTGTAATTCCTTTGAAAATAATAATCTTCTTCTTCTTCTTCTTCTTCTTCTTCTTCTTCGAATCTTTTACAAAAATCTGAACAATCTGTAATCATAAAGAACAACAAATTAATATCAAAAGTAAAAACTGTGTAGAATGCTATTTTAAGCTCTAAATTGATCGTAATTTATCAATTAAACAAGAAAATGAGAAATTTCTTCAACAACTACTTCAATATATATGCTTCAAAAACATATATAAATTAACTTTAAGAAAACATAAATTGTAATATTGTAGCTTCTCTATATATACTTGGTAGTCTATAATTGATTCACTTAGAGGATTTTAATTAAAGACAAAATTAATAATAAAAATCATTGAGCATTGGCTAGTATTAATTCAATGAAGGAAAACGAAGAAGTCTATGGAAAATTTATATTGTTAAGTAAATGAATACTTACAATTTTGTAATTGTTGTATGATTGTATCAATGTCACTCTTCGAACGATTTTTACAGTTCAACCTCTTTAACCTTGGCATGTTTAAGCCTCCTCCAGAGAAAGTCTTCATCTTGGAGCATTCACTCACATATAAGCTTTCCAAATTTGGGAATTTTAAGGTGTAATTCCCAAAACAGAAACATGTGAGACTTTTTAAATTATAAAAGATCAACTCCTCCAATTTCTCAAAAACAATTTCATCTTTCTCTATATCTCCCTCATTTGCTACTACTTCCATAATCATTTCACAGTCATCTATAATCAACCTTTCTAGTAGCAGCAGACTTTTGGCTGTTGAGGATGACATTAAGTTTTGCATCTCATTGCAATAGCTTACCTTCAAAATCCTCAGATTTTCAAAAGATGCTAAAGATGGCAATAGAGTAGTCAAGTAGTGACAATATTTCACCTTCAGACTATCAAGATTTTGAAGAATTAAGTTCAATCGAGAGTCTTGTTTCCAAATGCACTTCAAATTAAAAAGTCCTTGCAATTTTAAATCTTTTAATTTTGTAAGTGCTCCGACATGTTCCTTATCCTCTTCAAATGAGAATACCTCTTCATATGAACTCACTTTCAGTATGAGTTTTTCAAGACTGATAAATTTGTGAAGGATTGGAATTGGAATGTTTGTATATACATCATTAATCAATTGACGAGTTTTTACTTTGCCAAAGCTCTCTTGAAATTCTCCTTCCCAAATCGACATGATATCTCTTCCACTTAATGTCAATTCCTCCGAATTGGAGTCAACCTTAAAAAAATCATGTCAATCAAATTAAAATTAATATTTCTGCTTAAAAACATATAATAATTATATATATAAAATTAAGCAAGAAAAAAGATATTCATTTAACCTTTTTTTTTCCTTTACAATTACCATGTAATTAGTCCAATTACTTTATCGGGCCACCTATAACCCTTGAATCAGAATAAAAAAGTTAACCTGAGGACTGAAATTGATACCTCTAATTAATGTTGATTTGTAAAATTTGATAGTTAAAACAAGAACATGACACGCGGAATTAGCCCAGCCACTGGAACAAATTGACTTTTTGATAACTTTATGCTAGGATAAGCCTAGTTTTGCATAGCACTAGATTAAAGCTTCCAATGCTGGAAGGAAATATGTGTATCTTATTCTAATGCAAAATTTGCATTACAGTACTTGTACACAAACTAACTTTAAAAAAATAGTTTATTATAATTAACACTAAAAACATAATATTATTATAATAGAAATATTTAAACTAATTAATTGAATATATATACCTCTTTTTTGTGTGCATGTTGTATAGTTGTATTAAGGTCATTCCCCCGATTCTCTACTTCTGCTTTCTTCATCATTTTAGTACTCGAACTCACATAGTTGACTTTATGTAACTTTGGTGTGCTTGAGATTCCTTGAGAGAAAGTCTTCATATTGGGGTAAAACTTTATAATTAACTCTTCCAAAGATGGGAAATTGATAGAGTAATTCCCAGAGCAAAAGCATGTGAGACTTTCTAACCAACTAAGTGACAACTTTTTCAAATTATCAAAAACAATTTCAGTACTTATTGTTGTATCTCCTTCTCCCTCATTTTCTACTATTTCAATCAACAGTCCACAATCCTTTATGCTCATTTCTCTCAGTTGCACCAAATTTCTAGCTGTTGAAGGTGTTATTAACTTCATAAACCCATTGCAATAGTCAACTCTTATAACTTCAAGATTCTGGAAAGAAGCTGAGGATGGCACTAGACTCATATATTTGCTACAACTCTGTAAATCTAGAACTTCAAGATTTGGAAGACTTGGAAAGAATAGTTCTTTGTATTGATCACAACAAAATAGTTTGAGCTCTTTGAGTTTTTCAAATCTTTGAAGGACCCCAAGTGGAATATTTGTTGAGTTATCATATGAGATATGAAGAGCTTTAGATTGACTCCACCATCTAATCCCTTTCCCACCGTTCCTTAATTCAAATACCTCCAAATCTTGATTGATCTACAAGATCCATCGAAAACAAAATCCAATTAGCTTTTCAATTATATACTTAAAACAAAAGTTTAGTTATTGGCTCAAAAGTCATAGGCCAAACCCAATCAAATTTTGACAAATCAACTACAATCTATTTTAAAACTAGTAAATTATATTTTATTAATATTTAAAATCAATATTAAAAATTGCATTCAAAAACTATTTTTGTAAACTACAGATTGAACATACTTTTTTGTTTTTGTTTAAAATAGAAAATAGAAACATGCTTTTCAAATGAATTTTATTTTTATTTAAATGAATTTAGATTATTCTTCAAAGGGCTGCCATGAATCAAATTTGTGAGCAAATGTTTCATTTATGTGATTTTACCAATTACACCCCTTGAAACCAAAAAGCTACTCAGCCGCCACTAACTTGGAAAACTACAGTATACACCTCCTCCTATTGTCTATTAAATTATTTGAATTTAAGCAACAATTTAATGGAAAAGGCTACAGATGCAAATCATAGCCACAAATCGCATGGCTGTGGTGCAACCTTAGATTGTAGACATGATTGATGGCTATGACTTCAACCCCATATTGCAAACTGCGATCTAATGGTTGTAGGCACCACTACAACCATTTTCAATTATTTTATTTTTTTACATTTTCTTAATTATTTTAAGAATAATTTATAATGTTATTTTATTTTTTAAAACAGTTATAGAAATAAAATTAATATTAATTTCTTAAAAAGTTTTTTTTTTTTTTTCCAAATTTCTATTATTTGAATTTTCAAATTTAGTATCTAATGGTTACAACTTTAAAAATATAATTTCAGATTTTGTAAATAGTTTTTTCTTTATATTTTCTAATTTTATCTTCTATTTTAGTAATATTCTTGTTTAATCTTTCCTTTTGGTATGAAATGTTAATTTTATCCTTTTTGACTATAAGTTGGACTTTGGACATTTACTTATTCATTTATTAAAGCTTCTAATGCAATTAATTAAAAAATGTGGTCTATAACATTATCAAATAGATGTGATAATTGAAAAGAAATCGGTACATAATTTATTGATAGTTACCCTAATATAATTTGATTCAAAATTTAATTTATTTATTACTCTTGGCCTCCACCAAATCATTTTAAAATAATTTTGAATTTATGATCCTGTTTAGGAGGCTTTCAAGTTGCAAACTCTTTGTAAATAATTTCTTCAATAATAAAATGAATCACTTGATAAACAAATTTCTAGTAAAAATAAAATTTCACTGTTGATTTCTAGAATTATATTGGATGATTTATTTATTTATTTATTTATTTTAAATCTAGTACGTAAATGAGTTTAAATGATAAGGTCCGAAAGCAAAATTGTTCAAATTAAATAACCATTAATTTTTCTAAATTTTTTTTCCAAGGAAAAATAGAGATGTTAAGAATTCTATAATTAAAGTTTTTGAAATAAATGTAATATATATGAAGTAAGTTAATTTTCTTTTTCAATAGAGAATGAAATAAAAGATGCATACCTTATCGTCCAAGAAGAGAGATTTTGGCTCAGAAATATGAAGTTCACCCTCCTTACCATCTTCTTGGAAGCTCATATGTTTTGAAGTGAACTTCTCACAGTCTCTCACCACCAATTCTTTTAACATTGGCCATTTAGAAGTATGTATTCCAAGATAGAAAGTTGCAAGTTCTGGTAGATTTTGAAGCTTCAATAAGGTTATATTCGGAAAGACAAAATTGACAACTGCATTTGCTTCCTCCTCTTTTGCAACAATCTTCTCTAAAACTTTACAATCCCCAATTATTAGTTGTTGGAGTTGGTGGAGGCTTTTGGCTATGGAAGATGGAAATGCATATTTTATGTTTCCACAATTCCACAAGAACAAGTATGTCAAATTTTGATAAAAGGAAGTTGGATGTTAGTTGTAGGAAATCTCTGTAGAATTGATATCTTTGAATGTCCATAACTTCAATTCAAGGGAAATGTCCTACAGTAAAAGTTAATGGTTGTTTCAATATAAAGTAATTAAAAATAATTATTATTATTTATGATATTTTAGAAAAATGTGTCTTTTTGTAACTTTATTCAACTAAGGTCAATACTTAAAATTGTCTTTTTGTCTTCTTAGTTTTATGCACTTGTATGGATAAACTAACAAAACTCGTTTCATCCTACTATTACTTGCAGTCTTGTAGCTAAAATATAATATTATTAAAATATATAAAAAAATGCAAAAATAAGTAAATATTTAAACTAATTACTTTTAAACATACATGTTCTTTGTATGCTCCATGTATTGTTTTATTAAGATCATTCCTCTCATTCTCTACTTCCTTTATTTTCTCCCATTTCCTGTTAGTCTCGTTGAAGCTCTCATAACTGACTTTGTGTAACTTTGGTGTGCTTAAGATTCCTCGAGAGAAAGTCTTCATATTGAGGCATTCTCTTATAATTAACTTTTCCAAAGATGGGAAATTGAAATAATGATTCCCAAAGCAGAAGCATAAGACATTGGGGCATTCTCTTATAATTAACTTTTCCAAAGATGGGAAATTGAAAGAATAATTCCCAGAGCAGAAGCATATGAGACTTTTTAAGTATTCAAGTGACAACTTCTTCAAATTATCAAAAACAATTTCAGTACTTCTTGTTGCATCTCCCTCATTTTCTACTATTTCTATCACCATTTCACATCCCTTTACGCTCAATTCTCTCAACTGCACCAAGCTCCTAGGCATTGCAGGTGTCATTAACTTCATCAACTTTTTACACTGACGTACATTCAAAACTTGAAGATTCTGGAAAAAAGCTAAGGATGGTCCTAGAGTGATCTGCATATGTTTCTCATCCTTTCCACATAAGAACATTTCTTTGTATCCACAATAATATAATTGAAGCTTTTCCAGATTTTCAAATCTGTGGAGGAGCCCAAGTGGAATATTTGCTAACCGATCAAATATGATCTTAAGAGTTTTAAATCGACTCTGCCAACTAATACGCCTAAACTTACTCTTTAAATACAAATCCTCCAAATTAGAGTTGATCTACAAATCCATTGAAACAAAAATCTAATTAGTTTTTTAATCATAATTTGAATAATGTAAAAATTTGTGGTTTTTGAACAGTACCCACTTTCATTATAAATGAAGATTCATGGATCTTCAAACAGTAACAAATTAGATGATTGGTGAGAGAGAAAAATATGAAAAAGTGCAAAATCTCTTTTTGAAGGAAAATCTTAAAAAGTTAATTAATTTGATAATGTCACAGTCACAGACTCACAGTCACCCTATGGTTTTTGTGAATCTCCTTGACATTATATCATCTTAAAGATTTGCTTCTTCTCTTACGTTTGTTGGATTCTTTTAGTTTTTGGGCTTGTTAATTGGGCCTGAGCCCATTTTGTTCCCTCCATACTCAATCACCTTCCACTATTCTTGTTTCTTCATTACTGATTTTGTTACGTTTCCAAGTTTTTCTTTATATTTTAAATATGGAACCAATGAAATTGGTTTAAATTAACTATGAGAAAGACAAAGGGTAATTACATATCATTGTTTAATCTACTTGTCAAATTAATTTCATAAAAGACACTACTATCCTATGAAAACTAGATATGTTTTAAAAACTTGTCTTCTTTTTGGCATGTATAGTAATAAATGAAGTTTTGTCTTTTTTTATTGTTAGATATTTTAGAACATGTCTTTTTTCTTATAGTTTCACAAAAGGTTGTCCTCTAATCGATGATAACCTTATATAAAATCATATTGATGATTTACAGTAAACCTTTGATGATTTCTAAAATTATTTTTCTAATTTTTTTGTTAAAAAAAGAGACATTAAGAATCACATTAATATATTAAAGATTTTTTTTTTCAATAAAGAAGTAAAAAAGAGACTCGTACCTTATTGTCCAAGCAGAGGGGTTTATGAAATGAACTTTCATGGAAGGTTAGATATTTTGAAGTGAATTTTTCACATTCTGTCACCTTTAACCTTTTTAACATTGGCAATTCCCAAGTATCTATTCCATGACAAAAAGTTGCAAGTTTTGGTAAATCTTCAAGCATCAAAAAGGTTATCCTTGGAAAGGCAAAATTAACAACTTCTTTCGCTGCTTCTTCTTCTGCAACAATCTCATCTAAAACCTCACAATGACTTATCTCAAGGTGTTGTAGAGTCTTGAGGCTTTTGGCAATGCAAAATGAAAACGCATATTTTATCTTTCTACATCTCGTCAAGGTCAAGCTTGTCAAGGAAGACATGAATGTTGGACATTGGCTGTCCCAAATCTTTCTAGAACTAGTAACTTCAAGTTTCAAGGCCACCAAATTGGAGAAAATAACCTAAAGTCAAAGATAATTGATGTTTCAATATTTACTCATATGAAAAAAAAAAAAGTAATAATTGGTTATTATGGATTTATAGTTGACATACCATTAATATTAACAATGTATCTTTTGTCTCTCTAATAATTTTCATCATGATATCAAGCATGAATTAATGAAATCGATTTGACATAAATCACAAAGTTATGTAATTATTGAAAAGAAGTACGTAGTAATGAAATTTAACAAAAAATTTAAATCACTAGAAAAGAATGCAAAAAGAGAACAAATAATTCAATATCACAACTATATGTTACCAAATGAGAATAAAGTACATTAATATATATATATAAAATAGAGAAGTACAAGAGGTTAACATCAATCAAACCTTTTCATTAAAAAGTGGCGTGAGATTGTTATCATCATCTGAAAATTCGGCCAATCGTAAGAGTTCAACATTCTTGAAAATTTGTAATTCTTCTAAAGAGATGGTAGAATCATATTTAAATTCCAACATTCTTGAAAATTCGTAGGAGTTCAACCATTCATTGTCCATTATGTTATATCGGGATGACCAATCTCCTATTGATATTTGGTACCTTTTAAGCTCTCTGGAATAAGAAGTCTTTAAGCAACATCTTGTTATCTTCAATATCTATTTCTAAACTGGTCAATTGAGACAAGTGCTTTAACTCCTTGAGTACGTCAACCTTCCACTGAATACAACATCCCTTTATATACAATTCTTCTAGCTGGGATAGTTTTGATATCACATTCGACACAATAAATTCTAATTGCCCACAATTGCTTAAATCCAATAACCTTAACTGAGTCAATTGACCCATTTCTGTAGGCAACTCCTTAATATTAGAACCTTGCAAACTAAGGACTTTTAGTTTCCTTAGCGTTCCAATGATAGCAACATCTTTAATTTCACTATAATCCAAACACAATGTTTGAAGGTTTGTCAAAAAATCAAGTGAAGACGGCAATGACAATCGTTGCATATTACTTAAATTTAAGACTTTGAGCTTTGACATCACCATGAAAAAATCCTCAGGGATTTCAAACAAAGAGACCGATGAATTGATCATATAGAAAAATTCAAGATCTGGACAATCCAAATCTTTAGGCCAAAGCTTACTAATAATGCTACTATCATGTGAGGAGATTCTTGTGCATTTTCTGAGCTTGTCTTTATCCTTCCATTCCTTCTCAATGTCATTTTTCATTGTAAAAACATGGTGGTCTATATATGCAATCGTTATGGCAACGAACAGAATCATGCATAGAGAATTGTTTGCTTCTTAAACCTTCAAGTAACAAACAAGAATCTTTGAGTTCACGAACTACTTTTTCTAGTCTATTTCGAGCTCCTTCCATTGTGAGGTTATTTCTTTCAAGTACATCCAAATTCACGACATGTTTGAACAAGTCTGAAATGGATGTATCATTATTCATTAAACTAGAAATCAAAAAAGTTTTCTTCAATTTGTCATTTCTTAAATAGTTGTAACTCAAGGCAAGCTTCTGATATTCCTTTTCTAGTAATCCCTCGAACTTTGTCGGTGAAGGTTCTCTCAATTCTCCCAAGGCAACTTCCCAATCAAATGGATGACTCTTGCTCCTTAATGCTTTTGTTATAGCACAAATGACAATAGGCAAACCACCACATTCCTTGCATACATCTTTCGGCAAAGAATTCAATCTACGTGTTTGAATTACATCACCTGCATAGGAAGCTAGGATTATATTTATCTTATTGGACTTTTTTATAAGTAAAACCATCAACTTTTCTGTTTTTTGAATATCTAAGTAAATTAATGTCTTATAATATTCCTCATTGTTATTTTTCTTTCCACTCTTTATCTCTAAAGTCATAGAAATACATTTGTCTTACTCTCACCAAGAGGATTAAGGCTTTTGAAACAGTTTTTTTATAGAAAAGAAAAAAAAAACCTGAAGAGAAATGAGAAAAGACACTGGGGCAAGAATATTAGCAAGCAGGGTGACAAAAAATAGAGAAAATGTAAAATGAAACTGCCAAGTCAATTCTCATTGTTGTGAATATAGGCTGAAACTAACGGCATCAAAGCAGTATAACAGTTCCTTTTAGTGACAAACAGAAATAGAGAATAATGAAACTATATATATATATAGTTTTCCTTAAAAGGAAGTGTATGTTTCTTAAAGGAAAACAAATCTATTTTCAAAAAGAAATTCAAAATAGACAGATTGAAGATGTTGAAGCAGAAAATTAAGAAGATGCAAGGTGTAACAAATTTTGCTGAAGTATCGGTAAAATCATATCGCCGGGCTATATCAACTTAATTTTTTTTACTTAAAACGATAAACAAATTTTCATTCTTTTATTTGATTCAATCTAATGATTGTGAATAGGTGGTTATAAGTAGTTATTTTGCTTATCAATTCATCACCTTTTAAAAGGTTGGATTATGATTTATGAATGGTTACTAATTAGTATTTTAAATAAGTTAAAAATTTAAGTTATTATAGTCTAGTGGCCCTGTTGAGACTACGGTTAATTGAGATGCAATTCTCGTGTGCAAGCTTTTGCAGCAAATTCTTACTGCTTAGCTTGAGGGAGGATGTTAAGACTATGGTTAATTGAGGGCCGAGTTACTTGAGATGAGTTACTTTAGCTGGGCAGAGACTATGGTTAATGTGAGTTACTTCAGTGATTAGTGTTTCTTTGCTAGCTACAGTACTTTAATGCTACAGTACCGCTACAGTACTTAATGCTACAGTACCGCTACAGTACTTCAACTGAAGTTTTATTAAATCTGGAAAATTGATCAACAGTTGAGAAGCTACCATTTTATGTTTCTTTGCAAAATTTGTAAGAATCACACGGATTGTCAGCGTGGATTCTTACTTGTATAAAAACTTTTCGAGAACCATTTGTAAGTTAAGTTGGAAAATTAACAAAAGAAATCATTTCTGGAAGTATCCAAAGTTTCTCTCAAAGTTCTTGTTTGTTTCCTTAGATATTTTTTCTGCATTATCTGTTTGTTTCTCTAGAAAGTTTTGCAACTTTCTGCTTCTCTTTTCATTCGATCCTAGAACCTTTATAGGCCCTAATCGTTTTGTAAAATTTTGTAATTGGAATTTGGAGGCTAGCTAGGTAGGTAACAGGTAACTGGTGGAATTAAACTTAAAAGTTTGATTTGTATTGTTTAATTTGAATTTATAGATGTTAAATAATGAAGTCTGCGACGTCGTTCACAGTCAAATAAAACGCTGCCGTTTTGCTTATTAATCCAAAATTGATCATAGCCCTTCGATTAAGGAAGATCTGAAGGTTTCAGTTCGCTCAGTAGTCAACGATATAAAAGAGGCCATTCTCTCATTTTGCTGCAGTTCAGTTTCTTTAGGTTTTTTGTCTCTCAGTAAACACGATTGTAACCTAGGTTAGGGTTTGTCATTCATATTCATTCTTCTCAATGTAAATCTGTCTAGAGTCTTGTTTGAGGGCTGGGAGTTCCTTAAAGGTTATTGAGCACTCTGGTGTTTGTACAGGTTCACGGTATAAAGGGAAGAGAGTTGAGTGATTGATTTTGTAGTTGATAGAGAGGGTGAGTTGATTGTAATCTGTATCATTTGGAGTGATTAATCATAGTGCAGTGAGCTCCATAGTCCGGAACTCAACGTGGATGTAACTTGTTCTATATTGAACAAGCGAACCACGGTATATTGTTGTGTATTGTTTGATTTCTTGTTCTTGCTTGATTTGATATAGGATTGATGTTTTGATCTGAGGATTTAGGATTAGTTTACAACAATAGAGTGTAATGTGTTTATTAAATTTAGTTACCTTTTGGATGAAAGAGCCAATATATCTTAACGTATCAGTTTAAAATATTACTTGTTTGAACGACTATAGTCTAAATTTTCTATTTATTCACATCAAACCATGACACAGATTTTGTATAAGGGCCAAGACTATAGTGCGAGTAAAAATGAAATTATGAAAATCAATAAAATATAATATATGATGAAAAGTGAAAATTCTGTAACTTAAATTACCTGCCATCTTCTGGAATAGGTTCCAAGCTTCTTCTTTATTTAAAATACCCATTTTGAAATTATTGGTGGAATTCATCATGTTTAACACCTCAAGGTCTCTTGTTGTGAACAGTAGTTTACATCCACCACGATCATCTTTGGAAGGAATTCCCACCATCACTAAATCAAGATCTTCCCAGATATTATCCAGAATCAAAAGAATTTTCATAGGCGTCTCATCCTTCTTATCCCTCTCATCCTTCTTATGCATCTTCAATCTTGCATGTAACTTATTTGCCTTAGCTGCTACAGCACTTTCCTTATCCAATTTGAGACCTAATTTTTCAGCAATTTTTAGTTGAATGGTCTCTATATTTGGGGTTTCTGTTACTTCTATCAAAACCACCTCATCAAAGAGTGGTTCTTTCATGGCTTTCCTCCCAACTTCCTGCACAAGCGTGGTCTTCCCAAGACCACCCATCCCATAAACACCGATCATGTAGATATTCCCATCATTTAATGCATCCCATACATTCTTCTCAGTGGAGGTTCTTGATTCGAAACCCAAATAATCGTCATTATTAGATCTAAGCCAAATGTCCTGTTGGATAATTGGAGAGGATACTTCATTGAATTCCTCATCTAGGAGTTGATTAATATCTTTCTCCTTTAATTTGAATGCTTTCTTGCTATGTTTGTAGCGGGTGATCCAGTTGGGGCACAATCCCTTGAAACATCGAGCGTTGTTTCCTTCCTCTGCAATCAACTGCTCTGCTTCAGTAATGGTCTTCTCAACATCCGTCTGCCAGTCCTTAACATTCTGTTTGATCACTTCCACGTTTCTTTCAGCAGCAGTAACCTTAAGCTGCACTTCCTCTCTCGTATTCTTCAGCTTCCTAACTTCACCTTGGAGATTGTCAATGTTCTTCTTGTAGTTGTACAGGTACATAAATTGACGCCCAACAGGAGCAGCCAAGCACTTGACAACATCCAGAACAAAACTCGCGATATCGGCCAATCTCAACACTTTTTCCTCATCTGGTATCGAGCCGACTCGGCTCGATTCGTTAGAGAGAACGAGCTGAGTTTGAGCCTGTCTCGGCTCGGCTCGGTAGGCTTGCGAGCCGAGCCAGGCTCGAATTATTAGGTGGGTTTTAGGTATTTTTGTAAAGTATGGGGATTAAACTGAAATTTTCAAAACAAAAAGTTTGCAAAAATAACCAAAAAAAACCCCGATATTAAAATCCCTAAAACACGACCGAAACCCATTCGCCAACGAATCCAAACCAAATCAGACTGAAAACAAGAAGAAGAAGATGGGAGGAAGGGGAGAGCAGTCAAAACCAAACAAATCAATCAAAGTGTTGTTCAAATATGGTAAACAAGTCAAGATGCCGTTGGGGTTTGGTGTGTTGCCATTTTGCTTCTCTGTGAGGTTCCTCTTTTCTCTTCTTACTAGGGAACCTTGTTAATGGTTGGTGCTGGTGATGGCATTGTTTTTGGGTGGGCTGTGTGATTTGTTTTTGGTTTTTTCTTTTTTGTTGGTGGTTGGAAGGTGGGACATTCGGCTTTGTTGGTGAGTGCTCTGGGATTATGTTTTTTTTGTTGGTTGTGTCATGTGGTGGTGTGGTTCTCTTCAAGGAAGAAGGAGGCAAGGCTTGGAGGCTACTGGACTTTTTGTTCTTGGAGTGTTTGCAGCAAATGGGTGCTTTGCAGGTGGCTGGTGTTAGCGGTCTGGTGTGTGACTTCTCTATTGGTTGGTCTGCTGATGGATCCCGGTTTTCGTTCAGCTGGTGTGGCTATGAGAGTGTTTCATGTGGTCTCTCAGAGGGGGTTTTGAGATTCTGGGGGTTGGGTTATCTGCTCTTGGGTTTTAATTTTTAAAAAAAAAATAAAACTGCATATTTTAAACCCCAATAAAAGTGAACAGATGGCAAGCGGCGGTGCAGCTCCTTCCGTCCTTGTGCCATGTATTTTGTTTCTTACTAACGTCTTTTTTTTTTTTAAAAAAATTGTCTCATCCTCTTTCTTTACTCTTTCTTTTGTTGGGGGGCCCTCATTTTCTCTCTCTTTCTCTACATCTGTGTATTTTGTTTCTTACCTTTTTTTTGAAACTGTCTCGTCCTCTTTCTCTTTCTTTACTCTTCTTTTATTTGAAACAGTACAAATTTTGAGAATTAAACAATGACAGCTTCATATCACAACTTAGAAGGAAAGGGAAATTTAGTGAAAAAATCACAATTTAAAGGAAAATCAGAAAAAGGGCAGACGCCAAAAAAAAAAAAAGAAAGAAGAACAAAAAAAAATTACAGTTTAGACAAAAATTACTGTTTAGAAGAAAGAAAAAAAAAATTGAAGGGAAATAAGAAAAAGGGTAGGCGGCTAGCTAAATTTTGTTAAAAAAATATATTTGGAGATGGCTCGCGAGCCGGCTCGAATTCGGCTCGATGAGCCGGCTCGAAATATACTAAATCCACTATCGAGCCGAGCCGAGTCACATAATTTCTGACTCGACTCAACTCGGACTCGGCTCGTTTACTCATCTTCTCTCACGAGCCGAGCTCATTAAGCTGAAAACTCGACTCAGCTCGGCTCGGCTCGATAACACCCCTAGTCCATAAGTACCATTTATAGTGCAGTCAAATAAACAATCAGAACAAAGTCCATCCAAATCAAATAATCATCAAATGTACAGACTTATAGGACACTAGCTTAAAATTCTACGGTTAATAATTTCAGTAATACCACCAGCTACATTATCTAATTATTATTTTTTATATCAAATTATTAGAACTTATAATATATATTCAAAAGCGATCTCGTTTGAGAGTAAAAGTATTTTTGGTGGGTATCTGAAGGGGTGAGTGAGAGAAGTTTCTGAGTGAGAAGTATTTTTGAGTGGTTTCTAAAAATTTGAGAGAGAAGAAAACTGAAGATGAAGAGATGGAATAATTGATGACGGTGGAGACCCACCACAACGTGAATATCCATGAAAGTAAAAATTTAAAAAGTCTGAAGATTATAAAGGAGGAAAAGAAAGGAAAGATGAAGTGAGCTATGAGGGTCAGAGACGTTGACAAGACTTTGTTCAGACAAACCAAAATGGGAAGGAGAGGAAGACTCTTACATCGAGTGAAAGACCTTGTATTAACAAAAAAAAATTTTAATCACAAAAAGTTTATTATCAACCATTAATTAAAAATAAATGCTTAGAATTTAAATTATTATGAATGAATAAATATTTATTAAATTATATTTTTAAGATATAAAATCTAATATAAAAGAATTTTTTTATTTTATAAATCTCAAAAAAAGGTTTATTATTTAATCAAATTTTATGAGATTAATATTATTAACTATAAAAGAAATATAATTATTGAATTAGCTTAGATGAGAGTACTGAATAAATCTTCAATTTTGAAATTGATGTGCAAAGGAAATAAAGAAAATGCATCCTAAGAATATCGATCATATTGTTGATGCATTAACCAACCTTGGATTTGTTCTAAAAATAATAAGTATAATCACATGTCATTTACTATAAGAAAAAAAGAAAAAGAGAATTTTCCATGATTTTTAATTATTTTTCATCAAATAAATGGAATGAATATGTATAATGGTCTCAAATTTAAGTGGATATGAACAGAAGTTTACATATTTTATTTAACACCTTTCAATAAAGTTTGTTGATCTTTTTTTTTTTTTTTCTGTCATCGATATTTAGTGATTGAGATCAAGTACATTCTGACCTCTTGAGTAATACATTTAAGAGTTTTTGTTTAACCATTCGACTACCCAAAGGTGATTAGGTATGATTTTAATTCCTGAAAACATCAATCTAAGCTTTATTTTAATAACGTCTTTAATGGCTCTAGTATGATTATTTTTAATAATCGAACGCGTCTAGTGGATTGTAAAATCATATTCTTATAAAATTGTCCAAAACGTGTTTCATGGTTTGTGAAAAATGAAATCTTATATAATTGTTCTATCTGCATCTTTATTCTCCATTCATATCTCTTTAGTTACTATTCATGAGACCTGATGTTTTCATTACTGAGAATAATTGATTAACGATGGAGACTCACTATGTGAACAGATTTATACTTTATTAAAATAAGAAAAAGTTTGATAAAGTAAAATTGACCATTGACCTCGTTGCTGGGGCTCCCAGCTCAAAAGAAAATAAAATTTACAAAAGACCTTGACTTCAACAATTACAGGGATTAAGAAAACTAATGAATTTGTAAGATGAATTCAAAATGCTTTAATATTGTTAAAGCAACTGTAATATTGCACAGACTATTATATTTTGAGATATTAGACCGTATTTTTAATTCCAATTCTTCTAGTTCTGTTTTGTCTTCTGAATGATGAAATTTTGAATTGTATTGAGGCTTCTAATCCTTTCTTCCTCCATCTTTTTGTCATTTCCAAACTTTTTGAGTACTAATATATCTTTACAGTAAACTACGGGTGGCTGCATATGATTTGCCCTTCTTTTAATCCAGCAAAACGTGTTTCATGGATGTAAGCATTTTCTTATATGATTGCCCTATATTGCCAACTTTATTGATTTTCCATCAACTTTTCTTTTTAAGTTTCAATTGAATTCAACTGGTACTAAACACTAATTCTAAACAGTGACAACAATTGTTACTGAAACCAATACAAAAAATGAAACAATTAATTAACTACAGAACCATCATCATCTCAAATCATTGAGGAACTAATTCCTCAACCGTCAGTATTGGCCTTCTGCTAGCTCTAAAACGTTCTGCCACTACATTGTAACAAAAGAAAGTGAAAAAGGAATATGAAAATATTGACCAACTTTACTACATTGTACAATAATAATAGATCATGTATATATTACTTTTTTATTAGAACTTAGAAGTGCTTCCATATGATTGAGGCATTAAAAATATTTTGGGACAGGAGATTGCAGTATGATTGAGTCAGATATTTGTCAGAGCATGATGGTAAAGTCTGAAATGGGGAAATTCTGCCGAATCTTCTTAAAACTAGAAAAGAAATTATGTTAAAGATTTTCCTTTATAAATGATTTCCTTTTGTTCATGTTTAATGTCCTATTACCTAATTATTAGACTAGCGTCTGAAAAGGTCATCTGGTACCTTGTGGAGGGTCGAGGCTATTGCGACATATAAACAATTAAACACAAAAAAAAAAAAAAAAAAAAAAATTCAGTTTTAAGAAATAGAAATCAAATTTATGATCCTTATTGCGTACAAAGAACATATATATTCAAGAGGAAGAGCGAAATAACCCAAAAATTCTCCCACAAGTTGATGCATTTTGAAATTAAATTTTCAAAAGTAAGAGGAAATCAAGAGAAAAACTGATATTTATTGCGCTATAAAAATTTACAAGATAAAACATAATCATCAAGTGTTAGGGTACTGACTTGAATATCTTATTTCATAATTATTTTATTATTTGTTATGGTGGAAACTTTAGATTAAAGTAGCTAAAGTTACCATTAGCTTTCTTAGAAGTGCATTTGAAAAAGCTAAAGCACTAATGGACTTGATAAATTAATAGCTATACAATTATACAATTGTTTTTCTTATATAGTAATCCTTGGGCAACTTTCGAACCCCCAAAGATGATGATTTGATTTCAATTATTACTTCCCTTCAACAAAAGTGAGAGAGATTAAAAGATAAAGCATGAAGATAAAGTTAACCTCTATGTTGAATCTCCATGAATTTTCTCAAAGGAAAGGAGGGGCAAACAAAATTTAATTAATTATGGCTGTCTATCTTATGAAATATATATATATATATATATCTGTGTGTGTGTGTGTGTGTGTGTGCTCTGCTTAGGCATCGACTTCCAATAGCAATATATATATTTTTAGAAAAACTATAAATACATCTGAATATGATTTAATTTTATCCTAAGTTGATTTTCACATAACAAAAGTT